AGTAATCATAAAAAAATAAAAAACGGAATATTCTTAGTACATTATTTTTACAAAGTGTCTCGTTTGTTTCGGTTGTTGTAGTGAAAAATATCCGAATCGTATATCTGTAGAATATTGTTATCTATAGTAAAAAACAAATAAAGCACGGTTCTGTCTTGACATTTTCCTTATTGGATAAATGGCCGACCGAGTAACAAGTCAAAACGTTTTTAATTATTATTATTCCAAAAAATACAAATAATAAGCGTCTTGCTTAGGCGTAATTACATAGTATAGATACATACACATATTATAAACGCAAACATTGCGATAATCATTCGATTGTAATCTAATCTAAGTATTTAAAAGTATTTCAGACTAAATTCATTATAATTATCTTAATAGGTACAGTTAGTACAGTATAGAAAGTACAAAGAGGTCAGGCTTTAAATAAGAAACATTGATACATAGATATAAATAACGTATTGATAAAGAAATATAGATTAAACTATAATTTGATAAAAATGTGATCGTCTCTTTATTCTATTGTAATTAGTGATGTTTGCAGATACAGGAAAGTCTATCAATTGGTTCCTTTAAGAAAAGGTTAAGATCACACCTAGCGACCTATCTATTTCATTACTATCGTCATTTATAAATTATATAGGATTTTTTTCAGATTTATTGTTTCTCTGTCTATATGTTTGTGTGTACAGACTAATCTTCAAAACCGTTGGACGGATTTAAATGAAATTTTGCATGGAGGTAGCTTATGGGATAGTTAAAAATTCATCATTTGTTAATTTTGGCCCAGTATTCCCAGGCATAAAAAATAGATAGGCACATATATCGAGGCATACTAAATTTACAATTAATATATTTTGCTGTATATTATACATGGCATTTTTCTTTATTTATGTATATTTTATATATATATTATATTTATATATCTATTATAGTTTTAATTATCACAGTTTTTCGCCATTATTGCCCTACGACGCTTTCTATTTGTACATAAAGGATAGCTGGTAGAGAATGTCATATGGCATTAAGCTCGCTTTTTGTACACGTGTTTTTGTACACTAAAGAATAAAAAAAAATTTAAAAGCTGTCAAAATTTAAACAAAAATGTATTTAAAAACGATAAATTTTGTATTGTAATAATATTTATAATAATACCTTTAGATTCCGTATTATTTAGTTTAAATCCTCTAACCTTTTCTAATTTAATTTTTAGCCTATTTATTCAATATATATTTAGAAAACGAGGTATAAGGGGTTGAAAGAGTTATGTATGGAAGTGTCGTCATTTTTGAAGCAAAAATGATGAAACTTTTTCATTTGGCTTTTATTGGGTTAGTCATTATATAATGTTTTCATTATTTGGTCAATGTCACTAATTTACGTGGACGAAGTCGCGGGTACAGCTAGTAACAAAATATATTACTTAATTATTCGGTATTCGTCCGAATAATATGCAGTGTTGCAGATTGACAGTTAGATACTGGCAGCCTATATTAATTTTTGTATAGAAAAATAAATATATATGTCAAAAAATGTTACAATAAAAATATGTTGAAATCTAGAAATGTGTTTTTGTTATTATTAATTTATCTCGCCGCCGAATAAGCCGAAATCCGAATAGTAACCGAATATTCATTGCGAGCCTAAAAAATATCGATATCTCCGGCCCTAGTGTAAACGCAGCTTTTTCTTACGCAGCATTTTAGCTAATTATTTTTATATTGTTCGAAATATTTGCTTATTATGTACACTTAAATGAATATGAAACTGATGAAGAGAAACAAATCAAAAAGAGCAAAAAGAGACAACATTTTGTGAGTCTGCTGTCACCTACACTGGAGGTGGCAAAGCATAGTTCACATTACCGCTCCAATTCTATAACAAGTTGCCTATGGATTGGAAAAGTTTATAATATGTGGATGAATTTAAACACACTTTAAAGTTTAATTTTATTGTAGAAAGGTTATTTATAAAATTTTGTGAAAGGAGTACATATACCAGCATATTATAGCACTTGACAACCCCAGATCCTCACGATACTTGTTAAAGTTGCGCTAAAAACGACTTGTATCCAGAGTCGTAAAAAATGTATTTGCAAAAAAAAAGAATTTACATGTATGCGCAGGTTTTACGCCTGCGCGATAATCTATGTCATGTAATTGCACTCTGTGCGATGTGCGATGAGCATTTCTTTTCTATGTTTGTAGTTAGTCTGTGGCGTAGAGATTGTTATATTTGTTATAAATTATATATAATTTTATAGAGAGCCGGTATATTATGTTGTAAATATTAATTGGGATATTATATTTATTACTAGTATTTACATAACCTAATTGTACAACTAAGAACCTAAAATTAAAAGCTTATATTATTAAAAGGGGTCCCTTTAGGCAACGTTCCGAAGATACTGGCAGCGTTCCCTCTTTGAATAGCTAGACTAATTCTTTGTCCAAGGTAGCTGCCAGCTCTTCGGTCTTCTGTGATGTCGACTAACCTTTTCGTTATTTCTTTGAAAAGTCTTGTAGCGCTAGGACCCCACGAACTAAGGGTCTCGACACCGAATGCTCTGTTGTTGGTTCCATGTAGATGGGATGGGGCCAGCGTCTCTAATATTAATTGTAGGTAATTATGTGAAGTTCAAATATATTAGAAATACTGATATACTATTTTATTTTCACTCGGCCTGAAGAACCCAATAATTATTATTATCAAATTTACATTTTCCAATTAATACGTGAAACAAAAACTTTGTACTACTTTTTTTACAAAAATTGCGCGGACGAAGCAGTATTAAATTTCGGACATATAAATAAAATTGGAGTGTCTGTTTGTAATATTGAAATAACCGTTTTTTACTACATGCATATGAATATAAATACGGTATATGGTATACGTACCAAAATAACATTTTTTACAATTTTTGTCTGTCTGTCTGTTTGTTCTGGCTAATCTCTGAAATAACTGGACCGATTTTGACAGGACTTTTTTTGGCAGGTAGCTGATGTAATAAGGAGTAACTTAGGCTACTTTTATTTTAGACAATTTCTCTAATCAACTTTTTTAAAATTATCTAATTAACTTTTTTGTTAAATTCCACGCGGACGAAGTCGCAAGTACAGCTAGTTTTGTATAAATGAGTGCTGAATGGTATATATTTATTAATTATTCATAAAAAATACACTAATCAATATTTGAAACATATATGTATAGTATTTTGTTAAATTGTTATTACTGGTTCTAGATCTTTGTATTTTTTATTATGGTCGACTTTTCGACTACTGGGCGACCATTGGTTTGGATTATTGCGTCGTGTTGAGCCACAAACATATAGTGGCACATGATCGTCTTTTTAAAGCAGTGTTTTTAAAAATTGGTTCAGTAATCGACAAAAGATAAACTTACTACCATAGTGAAATAATCACTGTATTTGTCTGTATGGCTCAAAGAAAAAATAATGTAAAAATGTGTCACGTTAAGATCTACTCCTGATAATTATATCCACTGTTCTCTGTCTCTCATACTATATTGTCCATACGCCTCATCTCGCTCTGTTTTCCCTTTGTTCCTCTACGTATACTCTTTAATTTGATAGTCTGTCCTAACTCTATGGTTATAGTCTACGGAGACAGAGAAACATGGTGTATAATAGTTTAAGGTTATAGCATTAAGTATCAGTACTCTGTACCTGATTTCTTTTTCTCTGGTGTAGAATAGAATTTAGAATATTGTCTATGGTTATAAATATGGGGGATATTCATAAACATAGACAAATACTCTTAAGTACCAGAACAATGGTTCTTAGAATCCCTCTATATCAAGACTTGGTAGTGTAATTAAATTATACATTCATTATAATTTATTATTTATTATGATTGCTATATGATGAGTTATCTCTTTACTCAGTGTCTAACGTTAGTGATGCATAATAATAAAGTTATCGACAATTTTAACTTCATTTATCGAGAATAAGCCAACGGATTTTATCGATATCTCATCAGAATTTATTTCAGTACTATCGATACCGATTAATCAATATGGCACGATTTCTCAGTTGTTTCATGAATTTGTAGGTATCACCGAGGTCAATTCACCGCCTTATATTCTCAAGTTAAGCAGGGCTTGTGTTATGGGTTATGGTAACTGATAGAAATGCTAAAATACATTTTTTTTATAAATAATACATATCTTAGAAAAACTTACAAATAATTATACTCATGAATTATACCCACGGAACCCGTGCGAACATCGAACAAGCGAACATTGGAAGTAAAGCAATATGCTATACCGCTAAACCACCAAGACCATGTGAATCAGTTTCATAAATATTCATACCTGGCTTTCAGCTTGATTGTGTCTAACTTTCTCTTCATGATTAACCCTATGTAGGCACTGTCGTAGTTAATTCCTGGTAAACTGATCTGATGGATTTCCACCTATCCCCCGTCATCGTTTGGTAAATGTATATGTCGTACGTATGTACAATGTCACCTCCACTCGGTTCTCCCTGGAAACCATCATGATAAATTCCTGGGGAAATTCTAACGATGGGCTAACTGACCTGACCTTATGCATGCATCTTGTCATCCTCTACCTACTGGTGCTCCACCAGCGTAAACCGTTTGCGCAGGCAGGTGCACCATTCCATTATCAAAAGAGAAAAAAGTGTACATCTCAATAAAAAAAACTGCTACTATCGATAAACAGTTGTACAATTGCATTAATACATCATACAGTACTATCGGTAAAACAATGATTACATACTTCGTAGGGATGTGACAAAATTCAATACAAATAAGTCGATCAATCAAGAATCGACTTTATGCACATACTAGAACTAAGTAACTGATTAAATTCCAGAAGAAAACGAAATCCCACAGGCCAAGTAGCCCTAAACCACCGAAACGTAGGTATAGAGTAAAATACTCGATTATGGAAAAATCGATTATTATTCATTATATAATCGATATATATATAGACTCTATTTTACATCCGAATAATTAGTAATCATTGTTCAGTGTTTGCCCGACCATTGACAATATCATTCAGTACATTGATAAATATAAAGTCATTAAGTAATTCATATTGGTAGTCGATAAAGATTGATTATTATTAATATATTATCCACAAACCATTTATACAGTATTTATAAACACTTGAGGATTGTGTCTTTATAGTCTTCGGTTATTTCATTGCGTGTGGTATTTACAATACAGTAAAAATGTAAGTATTCTTTTCAAAGCCCATATAAGAACTATGTAGAATGTAGTGTTTATCTCTGTTTAGCTCTTTAATCTTCTTTAGCTATTTAATAATCACTATTAAACAGCCAAAGATCATAAATAGAAAATACCTATGTTCCATATAGTTATCAACGTGACTAAGTACTGAATGAGTCAGGAAAAAGACGTCATCACATTTGTTTTGTTAATATAGATAATAATAATAATATAAATAAATAATTTCTTGGGAATACGAGATATTTAACTTTGATCAGCGATTTTGATGCGTGGCATTAGATACGTATAGGTACTATCCCCAACAACGAATCCATAGCATTGATAGTTTCTAAAATATGGAGTCGTGGTAGTAGTAGTAGTTATGTAATATAACTGTATTAATGTAGATATACCTATATGTATACAGATAACAAAGCTATATCTACTTTATTTATATCAATGTCACAAAACCATAACAGAATATCCAAATCGGTGCTTCAACTTACACACAATATAAACATTATAAAGATTCGAGATACTTTTGAATAACTTCTGTGATTTTCGGCGGACTACAATAAAATGATCTGAAATGATATTATTTTAGATATTGTTCATTATACCTACATAAAGCACGGGTTAAAGATGAATAGGAGTATATATATATCTATATCAGAAGTGTAGCGTGTATTGCCCCATATAAAAATTTGTTACGAAGGGTAAAGAAATCGTGAAAGTATTTGTTTTTTTCCCTTACCCATTGGCGAGGCCCTTTGTCCTTCGTGAAAGTGTGTGATGCGAATGATTTTTTTCGCCACTGCATCATTTTTGCTTACGCACGTTCTGGACCCCCGTGGCCCAGTGGCCTAATGATCACCTATATACCTACCTACATATGTACTGGCTCAATATTTGGACCGTCCGCTACTCCAACAAACTTGGGTTCAAACCTCACTACAGAACACTGTTATCTTCCGATTGACCCCCCGTCCAATTTAAACGGGGACCGAAATTGCAACGGCCTGAACCTAGGTCCGAATCCCTAGCCGTGCCCTCAGATTAGCGGGAGCGGGAGTTAGCTTTCAGCCGCCCCATAAGTCCTTCTACGGGTTTGAAGTGCCATCTGCACTCTTATCGTCCGGTGAAGCTGTAAAGTTATTCTTTATTATCCTTATGGTGATCTTATCTACGCATCAGATAATAATAAATTACCTACAAGGTATCAGTTGAGCGGTATTATCAATATCATTAGTGCGCAGTATAAAACAAAGTCGCTTAAATCTTGAAAACTACGCAACGGATTTTGCAGCAATTTTTTTAAAGGATAGGGTGATTCAAGAGGAAGGTTTATATGTAGATATAATACATGTACACCCGTGCGAAGCCGGGGTGGCTAGCTAGTTATTTATATTTCTAGACCGTTGTGACCTTGTAATTTACTAACTCCACTTGTACAAATGTCGTCAGTTCAAAATTGGCCGACACCTAAAAAAACTGTGTAGGCAATTTAGTTGTACCAATTATGTTATCTGTTGTACTTAAATATGTTGTTTTAAGATCGACGCAGTGTACAATCGAACGAGATTACATGTTTGTTTATAAGTAGATAATTAGAAAACATATAGTCTTTTAATAATTATTAATTATATAATATACAACGTTTACAAATATCAGGAACTCAGAATGTACAAAAAAAAATGAAACGTGGTAAGATCCGTGGATAAGATTATTCACGCAGTCATTATTTATAAGTAATTTACTAATTATACTTAGTTGTACTTCTGACCGACCCACGATTTTCTATTAAGTATAATTTTGTATTTACACATTTCAATTTAAAATGTAAAGCTACAACAATTATTTAAAAGAGTAACGCACAAGGTTCTATACCCTGTACGCTGTGATGTGATGTGCAGGAGATATTCAACATTTTAATGTAATTAGATTGTACTCAGATATTCTATGAGAGTTAAATATTGTTTGAATGTAAATTTAATATCATAGCAGTCACTTTCCTACAAATATGTAGTATATAAAAATCTTCGTAAATTACTTCTACTTTAGTAACTTACTTTTCATGTTTAATGTTTCATATTTTACAAAGTAGGGTAGTGTTATCGTTACACTACACTACTTTGTAAAATATTATATATTTTTAGTTCCAATAAAAGAATTATTATTATAATGCATTGAGTACCTATAGCTCATCATTTATAAATTGATAGCTTTCCGAATGAGCGGTTGATTAAAATGGGAGAAAATGCCTTATGTTGTGAAGTCCGCGTAAGTCATTCAGGTAATAATGGTAAAGTTTTAAGAAATAAATTAAAAAGTTTATTTGAATAAAGGATTTTTCTATTCTATTCTGCTCTGTTCTGTTCTATTCTATGCTATTCTATTCCATGCCATACCTATGCTATTCTATACCTACTATACTATTCTATTCTATTTTTTCACTTATCTACAGGAAATACACAAATTTACACATTAAGTAAGAAGTGGTCTGAGAACTGGTCAGTTCCAATATTTATTATTTTAAGAGCACCGTGAGCCAGCTAATTATTACTCATATTTACAGACCTCGTAGACGGTGAAAGTGACTTAATAATCAGCTCTGTTCGACTCCATTGTGTGTGATTGTATTTCGAATTTCCTCTCGGGTTTCATTAAATTGACCCGAAAGTCGCCTGCAGTCTATTTTAATCCAAGGCGGCAGATTAACCTTCTACTATCTATCGTCGTGAACATTATATATTAAATTTCAGGGCTGCACCAGTAACAAAATTTAAATTTTCGGATAGAACCGAAAAATCTCAATTCTCTGGGATCGAATTTTACAATTTATATAAGGATGCCGAATTTTTACAAAGCAGCGAAAACATTCATCGCATTCTGCAACAAGGTTACGAATTGAGAAATTTACTAAGGAAAAAGGAGCCAGGCGAATTGGTTGACCTTGGCATGTGGCTGGCTCGCAAGTAAGTTTGTTTTATATAGTTACTTAACGCTCTTGTTAATGGGGGGACAGGATGCGATGGCTTATGCCGATGATCGCGCATTAGTCATTATCATAGTATTGTATACAATACTGTTATTGTTTCAATCTTCCATTGTATAAACACAGATAAAAGTGTATATTTGTCAGAGTCTGTATTTATAAAAATAATACAATGACACATCTATCAGTATGAGCTCATGAATAGTATAAGAACTGCTTTCTTTGTGACTAAAATGTAAACGTACCTACGGTATATATATATATATGTAAGGGAGTCCGTCCCCTTTTACCTAGATTGTCATGCTTAGGGCCGAAGCCACTAATATACATAACTCCTTTCTTATTTTAAGACTAGATTAATATGTCTAACATTAATATTTTATTGCTGTGCCTAGATTATAAAAAGATTCAGAAAATTTTTGCCACACACATTTTGCCAAATTTCAAGATCATAGGTGAAACCGATAAATCACCGATTCATAAAAAAACTTACTTTGACATTTAATAGGATACGGTCCGGCCGTATATTTTGGTAGTGCAAATATTTTTGGACAGTATTATTTTTGCTTATTTATCCTATCATACACTACAGAGTGGATCTCAAACATTTTTTGGAAAGGAAAATTATTTATTATGACCTTTTCATTTTTATTGCTTATTAATATTTTATTTACTGATACAGTTCTCCTCTGCTCGTAAAAAAAACGGGCAAAGGAGTTGAATTGGGTGATTTCGAATTCACCCAAAATCGTCTGAAAGGGCTGGTGGCTGCGTTCGTTTATGAGAACCGTCAGAAATTCCCTAACATCAAAGCGGAGGAGGCCACTCAGCTGGGTTTAACTTGGGACAACGAAGACGCTGAAAAATGTAAGTTTTACTTGTCTACCGTCGCAGGAGCGGAGCATTTCGAGGATCAGTTCTCGTATTGGCCTCTATTGTGCGCATTAAGGAAATTGGAGATTAAGAAAGTAAACAACGATACTGTTATTAAAATAGCGAAGAAAAAAAACACGAACGGAAACCGTATGTCCGACATTTTGGGCCAGAATTACGAAGAGGTACAGCGTCTATGGAAATTTTTTCCAGACGCTCCCGACTTCAAAACGTCAATCAATCAGATGGCAATGCCAACCGAATTGATTGCTGTTTTTGTCAAAGTGTGAGCAGTTCTATCCTATTATAATATGGATGTGATTTGCAAAATAGCTTACATGCATTTTGCGTAAATACAGCAAATAATGTGACCTACTCATATAATCTATATGTACTTGTATTATTAAAGGTCATATTAATATATTTTGCTGTATATTGTCTCCTATTGTTATTTATTTTGAGACAATTTTTATTATTCTCTTATATATAATCCTTGTCATTACAAATACTTGTATTAAATTCTTGTGTAATATTAGTTGTTGTTTATTTCTAAATTAACCTGATTAATGCCCTAACTGATGTAATGATGAACCAAATGGTTTAAAAAATAATTTATATGATCAATAAATATATCAAATTGGGTGGGAAGGGGATTGTTAGTGATGTGGATTTAACCCTATTGCTAGCAATTTACCATGTCAAGTTGCCCTCCATTCGATTTCTCCTGGAAACCATCATGTTAAATTCCTGGTGAATTTGCCACGATGGTCAGTTAGCACCTTACGTGACACTTATCTTATCAAGAGGTCCAGTGGAGGACCACTGGAGCCCGCAAGCTTACACCGTTATGATCGATAATAAAAACCACAAACTCTGTTTAGCTTGCGGTTAGTTGACGCTGTGGTGGATTGTCCAAGGTTGTTATTTTCAGTATAATAATATTAATAATTAACGGTTGTCAGCACTAGGTGAAACGTCATATTGTTTGTCATTCCAATTAGAAAAAAAGACAACCATAACCCTAAAATTTGAAATAAAACAACATTAATTTTAAAGCATGTTTATTGAATTCCAAATAACTAGGATCATTGAATCACGCAGTAATATAGTACTAACTCAAAATATACTATATAAAATACACACAAGATAACAAATTGCTCATGATATTTAAAAATAAAAGTATAATATTGTAATACAATTCAGTTCTATTAACTTATTTTGTAATTTACCCATCTACTTAAATTTAAATTCCATTTCACAGGAATACATTGAATTCCTACTATATCTACTTACATTCTAATTTGTTTTAACATTTATATATGTGAGTTATATGCAATCAATGACTGATGAGATACAATGAGATGTGAATATTTCACAAATACAATATAAAATGGCTCTTAGAGTAATTATCTTGAATGTATTATATAAGGACTAGAGGTACATGATAACGCACTAGAATAAACTAAATTAATATTGACTCTAGCCCCGGATGTCATTCGTAACTATTCACACAGCAATAGTTGAGCACAAGTACATAATATACTCAAGTTACAGTAAGAGAGATACGTTAAAACTAAAATTTCACTATCGTGTTACTTTTCAGTTTGACAAATACATGTGAGTTGAGTTAGATCAGGCGATTTTTCTGCAATATAACTTGACAGTTAATATATTAGTGCTACAAAGTATTTGTAATTAAACATTTCTATTTGTTTCTTATATATATATTATGCCGCCCGTAGAAATAACTTTTTTTCTTATGTAACTGGAATAACAACCATATGGCCTGTCTATTTATAACTGGTAACTGTCTAAATACATGAACAGGATCGAGTTTCATGTGAAGCCTGTTGAGTCAAGTGTTTATATTCCGGAAGAGTAAGATGTCATGCCGTACATTATAATTTAACTGCTTTACATTCTAACTTTATTCCTTATAGTTATGTAGAACTGAAACACATTTTACAAAGAAAATAAAAGTTTCTTCGCGTTAGAAATATTAAGACAAGAGATGGGCACGCTGACGATTTTACACTCATCTGCGAAGCAGCCAATTATTGTACTCGAACACTATAGCCCCATCTCCGAGGAGTCCTGTCATTGGTCTCACAGAAAGGTCGTTAATGTAATTATGATAGCTAAAAGTTGAAAGGGTATAAGTTATTTTTATAGGCGGTATAATATTTCATGAAAACGTTAGTTGAATTTTGATTAATTATGATGGAAAATATTAAAATTACGCTAGAGACGAGTAGTAATTTACACTAATTACTTAATTACACATTTACTAATAGTGTTATCGTTGTAGATAGTGGCAATTTGCGTTTTTTATCAGTGAATTGTTGAGCAAATATTTAAAAACATGTATAGAAAATCTGTTCAACCTATCGCTGACTTAATATAAAACTGCATTAGGAGACATCTGTAAATTTCGTCAAGTGTTACAGAAGAGTGATACGTGGGGAGGTGGGTGTGACAAAGTGTGACATTGTGTAACGTGTGGTGGGTGGGAGAACTATTAACGAGAATCTTAACACTTAAAAATCTTTAAATAATCTATAGAAATATTATAAAGAGTTAGTTTGTGAGACCCCTGGATCTACTGAACCGATTTGAAAAAAACTTTTGTTGTTTAGAAAGGTTATAGTCTATATAACATCACCCTATGACTAACAGGAGAGGAGCTGAAATGATAAATGTAACAAAAAACGAGGGAAATGTGATGCAGAGGAAGTGTCATGGGTCAGCTAGTATTCAATAAAATTGCATAATATGTGGTAGTGACAAATGATGGGAGAGTCTCACAAATATGACCGATCGAAAAATGGGGGAGTGGTAAAAAAAATGAATTAAGAAATTAATCATCATATTGATGGCTCCTGAACTCAAATAGCGAATAATTTTGTAAAGGGAACTTTAAAATCAAAACAAAATTACTGTCCATTTTTCCTCAATTTAATGCAGTTTATTTTAATCATGCGATATTTACGGCATCTATTTTTTTTTAGTACTAATGTATTTTCCATCTATACATTTTACAGCCTATAAATATACACATCAATTTTATAAGAATACACCAGTGAAATATTTAAAAAAACTATATATCTACCAATGAAAGAATCTGATTACATCAGATGACAAATTGTATTTATAATACTTAATTTATATAACTATATATAAACCACATTTTCGAAATTTCATGTTCATTAATACACTTTATTCTTTTAATAATTCGTCCATCATGTATTAAGCAATAATATAAAACTGCATTATATAAATTTATGTTTAGTTAAATATATTGTATGCATATAAAAATGTATTTTAAAAATTAATTCTTTTACCCATGTGATTTTATAATATCGTACAATTAAATTTATTGCTACAATTATCGACAGTTAAAAAAATATACAATGAAAAACACAGTGAATATAATAGGTATATTGATTATAAAATCTAGCCTCAAAAATCGCAAATATATTAATTATACTGATCCAAATCCATCCATTATAAAACGCTATAAACATATAGTTCTCAAAATGCAATGGTATGAAATGACGTAAGACAAAGCCTATTTTAAGCGTTATCAATGTTTTATCAATTCCAATACGCTCAAGCTGCTACAGTACTGTAAAGGCCGTTGTAATTCTCCGAACATTTGTGTTATCGCATTTATAGCAATAGACTAGTTTTAATCAATTATTAGGACATGGTGACTGCTAGAATTTTTCCATTTAGTGTTGACTATAAACTAAGTAAATGTGTAAACTCGAAATAAAACAAAAAAAATTAATAGACGAGAACCGGCCTCTGATAGAGCGATAACATTAAAAAACAGAAGTAATAATATGTCTTATAAAAAGTAATGGCCTTTGTCTGGAGAAGTGGTAACACAATAAAATCGGCCTCTTAGGTAGTGAAAAGTACACCACGCCCAGTTAATAGGAAACCGTCTCTGTATATTGACGCATCGTGTCCAGAATTGTGACTATGATCCAGATAGTCCGACGAACATCCTGTACTGCCTATGTGTCCGACATTTGTGACTATATTATCCAGGACATAAGAGGAGCCTGTATTTCCGGAGAAGCGATAACACGTCCGGGATATAAGACAAGAGTATTACCGTAGGTTCAGTATACATAATGAAATCGGCCTGTAAGTTAGTGAAAAGTATACCACGTCCTACAACTGCCGTTCGGTCATGCTGCGTCAATTTGCAGATCTTGATAGATCTCTGCTATATGATGTAGAGAATCTGAGCAGCCTGTATACCGCTACGTCCGCAAGACAAGACACTCATGTTACCGGAGATGAGAGCGTCATGACGATGGCGCAGCGGCACGTGGCGGTCCAGAGAATCCGAGGAGCAGCCTGTATACTGCCCATGTCCGGGGAATTAACGACACGTCCGGGAGATTAAACAAGAGTGTTACCGGAAGCTCAGTGCGTGATGACGGTGGCGTGGAGGCATTGCGGCAGCACGTGCCGGTAGGGCAGGCGGTAGTTCTTGACGGTACGCGCAGCGAGACACTTGAGCGTGGTGTACCGCAGCGGGTTGACGAGCGCGGCCAGGCTCTGGTGCGAGGCGCGCAGCAGCAGCTCGGGTGTGTGCCCGTCGTAGTTCACCGTGTCCACGTGCGCGCCGTGCTGCAGCAGCGCCGTCACCACCTCCGCCGGGCACGGCTTCAGCTGTTACACACGCTTATCGTTATCTCTATGCACAAAATACGAATGTAATATCTGTTTATATAACAACTGCGTTAAGCGATGCGAATATACACTAAAAACACAGTGCAATAACATATTAGTAGAATAAATGTTATCTAGAAATAATCACATTACATGCATAACAAATAATGCAATGATTCTTCTTATTAAATCATGCCCTGCTTTCATAATGGAGTAAATTCAATTGACTGTATAATATGCTTGTTATGCAGAACAAGGCTATGGACCTGATTACAAAATATTCTTGTTTAAAGTACTATTTTACAAATTCGAAAAACAATGAATAAGAAAGGCCCTAGATTATAACCCTGAGAAACACCAAACTTTGTTCGCAGTAACTAGGCTCATTACTAACTTACTTAAAATTCATTAAAATATTTATCACAAAGAAAAATAGTAACACTGTAATAATACACTATTATATTCTACTAAACTTCAGTGCACAAAGCATATTAAGCACAAACACGGGAATGGCGAGTCGAATGCGGTGCTAAAATAAGGTACCTTGCAGACGAGATGCAGCGGCGTGTTGCCATCAGCATCGCGCGCGTCGGGCGAAGCGCCGAGCCGCAGCATGAGCGACACGAGCGCGCCGCAGCAGGGCGCCGCCTCGTGCGGGCCGGAGGGCGCGGCGGCGGCGGCGGCGGGCGCGGGGCCCGCGGCGGCGGCGGGGCCCCCGGGGCCCGCGGGGCCCGCGTCGGCGGCGGGCGCGGGCGCGGCGGCGGGCGGCAGGGCCTGCAGCCACACGCCGCCGCCCGCGCGCGCCGCCGCCGAGCACGCCACGTGCAGCGCCGACCGCCCCTGTCGCACCTGCGGACCAATCACCCACATGTCACAACCCTATTGCTAGGTGGGAAGGGGATCGTTAGCAATGTGAACTTATGACCCCCTTACTAGCAATGTACCATGTCAGGTTGGCCTCCACGCGGTTCCCCCCGGAAACCTTCGTGATAGATTGCTGGTGAATTTGTCACGATAGGCTAACTGACTTGATTTCATGCTCATCTTATCATCCTCCACGGGTGCCCGTAGCGCAGGCGGGTACACTATTCCATTATCATCCATAAAATTACCCTATTGCTATGTGAAATGGGAACTTCGAAACGAGAACTTTAATTGACGTGTTGACCGATGACGTGTTTAATTACTACTACTATACATTTAATAATACTAGTAAAGAATTACAAACATAAAATCCGTGATCTTGTTAATTTATTCTAGTGGCATTAGTTTAAGAACATTATGATTTTTAATTTGAAATATTACATACTTCGTCTCAAAACAATTGAATAAAAAAATAATTTAAATTTATACTATATTATGCTACAAGTATCGACCAAGTGTTAGAACAACTTATTAATAACCTGTCTAAAAATTTATAAAAATTATCTCACTCACCTTAATATCTAACTTAACAAGCGAGTACACAGCCTTATGAATTCTATTGGAGACTGCTTCCGTACACTCCGGCTCGGAGAGCAGCCTTGCCATCACAGTAGCTAGTTGGAGTGATATCACTAGCACCCTCTGTAGAGTTGTCAGTGTTTGTTCTCTGTCAATACTTAGTTTAGAACACTCTAGAAGCTCCATGCCTCTGTCGATCTCTGATAGTGCTTTAGTGAATACTGGTTCTACATCATCAATCGTCACCGGTGGAACTATACGACCTGTGGGACATACAATATTATTAGAACCAAACATACTTTAATCATCAAAACAAACTTTATAATGGAAATGGGATAAGGGAAATGATTAATTTTAGTTTTAAATATTTTTAATTAACTGTTTTGCCCTTTTTATTTGAACTAATATTACAAAACAGCCTCAGTTACAATTTCATTAGATTTTACTTTTAAAGAATAACATTTTAACAGTGTATTATACATAATACGTAAATTTTATTTCGTCAAGTAATACGACCCAATGAGAATTGATTGCAGGCTTTTTCAGACCTTCCAGTTTCTTTGTTTATAATTCCCCAGATGGTCTTAATTTTGTCAGAAGACTGATTAATTTGTTTATTGGCGGAACCGCGGAAGCGGAAGTGAAATCTTGTAACGTCCGATTTGATGGTATTACCTCTGAGCGGGGGACGCGCACGCTCGGCCAGCATGTAGGAGAAGAGCTCGGCGAAGCTGTAGAGCGAGGACTGCGTGAGAGGCGAGAGCGGCGGCAGCACGGCGCGCTGCATGTCGAGCGCGTGGTGCCACAGCTGGCGGCAGCGAGCGAACCGGCCAGCGTCCGCGTACACCGCGCCGCGGTACCGCACGTAGTACGACGTGTCCGGGTGCGCCGGCCCTGATATCGCACAACACACGTTCCATTACACGCCGCCCACCTTCATCGAGGAGGACTACTGGACGAAGGCAGTGATGTATTGGCGCTACCGTGCCAGATCATCGTCGTCAGTGCCGAGACCACAGAGACGATGTATATTATTATCAGCTGTGCCCGCGGTTTCAGAATCAGAATAACATATTGAAATTAATAGCCAATATGTTATTCTGATCTATAATCTATATTACTGTAAAGTTTCATCGAAATCTGTTAGTAGTTTTTGCGTCAAAAAGTAACAAACATGCATCCATAACAAACTTTCGCGTTTAAAATATTAATAAGATTACATATAAACGTTAGTTTATGAACTATTATTACTAGACATTAGTGAAATAAATAAAATTACAGATCTGTATATGAGTATGTTCGTCTGATAGAAGAAACATGTACGATTGAGTAGTGCTAATATGTACGATATAGGGGGAAGAAGATTGTTAGTAATATGGACTCATGACCCCATTACTAGCAATGTACCATGTCAGGTTGACCTCCACGCGGTTCCTCCTGGAAACCATCGTGATAAATTTCTGGTAAATATGTCACGACCTGACCTCATGTTCATCTGATCATCCTCCACTGGTGCCCCGCTAGCATAAACCGTTAGCGCAGGCGGGTACACCATACCATTATCATCCATAAAAAAAATGTGTACTATACTAGGATAAGTCAATCTTCTTGGTCATGGATCTTAGTCTGTTACTTAAAACAGGTCACTGCTGCAAGTAGTAACATGAGCTGTCTTTACACGACACTTTCTTTCATGTGCGATTAGGACAAAAAAATTAAAAAATATAACATAGATATGGTTGCAGGGTGCGATTAAGCAGTGGAATTACAGGATAATAGGCATGACATGCTAGTCATCTGGAATGGCTCGGTGCCATAAGTGGTATCACAGATGTCATATTATTATTAAGGTGATGACCATAATCTTCAAATTCATGTATAGAGGCGACGGTTGCCCGAGACCATCAGATGGGCCGTTAGCCATTCCTATTATATAACTAAATATCCTAACTAACTGACCAAGTATCCTTACTAACTGACAAAGTATCCTAACTAACTAACAAAGTATCCTAGCTAACTGACCAAGTATCCTAACTAACTGACAAAGTATCCTAACTAACTGACCAAGTATCCTAACTAACTGACTAAGTATCCTAACTAACTAACCAAGTATCCTCTCTCTAATGACAAGCGCCTGCATCCTCATCGCATCAGGGTCCGCTAGGATCTCCTCCAGTTGCCGCACATCGCTCGGTTCCACCGCGAAGTCGTACGCCTCTATGCGAGGCACGTCTTTTGGCTTGGGTATTGGCTGACTGCCATCGGCAGGAAATCTGTAAACAATACATTATAAAATAGACAAATAGTTACCACTATTGCTAACTGCTGTGGGACAGTACTACGTCGTCGGTTACAACGTATATTACAGACAAGCAACCCGCCCCGCCTTCTGACGAGCCCAATATCTGATTACCATCTAAATTGTTCGACACCAACATATTTATTTGGATAAATATTAATACCATGTTTATAAAAACACGTTCGCAAATAATGCATTAATTTGGAAGAAATTTGATTACTATAATAAAGGTTATAATGAATTAACTTTAAAATATAGACATATATATTATAATTATGTTGTTTTTTCTTTTTATATTTGAAGTACATAATAATTTATGTAATTATTCTTTCTGTGAGAAGAACAATAAAGTGTTTTTCATTCATTCATTCATTCATATGTTGTCGCGAAGTTTTAAAGGAGAACAATTCCGTCATACATATATTTTGCGTAACTTTAAGTATTTAAGCAGAATACGCATCGGAAGCACTGAAATAGAATATAATTTTGCCACTTTTTAATTACCTTAGAGGATACCCCGTACAAATAAACATACAAATTTTAACTCTTCATAATATTAGTATAAATGAAAGTGAAATGACCAAATTAATATGAAAATATCGATTTTATATACAAGAATTAGTATATAAAATCGATATTTTCATATTAATAGTAGAGAATATTTAGTTTGTTTTACTAGTCTTAATTAATCTCAAATATTACATTGAAGTATGTAGGTATGTATGTAATATCTAGGTAACTGTGTCCAATACCAACATTAAAAAATAAGCATATACAAGAATAAGAAAGAAACATACAAAGTCGGCAACAGAAACTGCCTCAGCTGTTGCTGATATAAGCACAAACTCATTGAGGTGTATTTATACAGCACTGGTTTTCAGGCCCGTTACTCATGAAGACGAAAGACGTGCAGGTTTTTTTTTTATTAAGTTACGCCCTTATTTTACATAGACTTGAGGTCTTTTATTGCATATTATTTTTTAGTCCAATCTTTTTTTCTACGCTTTTCTAGGTCTACGAACACATGTACTGTGGATTCCCGCAATTTATATGTTTTGCTTTATTCTTAGTTTTTTTGTTTATTGCCTTATTTTAAATATTTTCTTTGATAATATTACATATTTATTTAATAATTTTCAATTATTGCAATTTTTCTGTGATGTGACGTGGGCAGGTTTATATAGTTTAGTTATTTTCACTGACCTATCGTCCATTGCCCGTTTCCATAACGATAGAGCGCCGACCATGTCCCTTCGTTTGTCGACGTACGTCGCGCCGAGTAGTTCCAACGCGTCGATCCGCTGCTGTCTCGTAACTAAACCATATTCTACGCTAATTAAATGCTCCACTATGTGTGTATGGCCTGTGACAGATGCGGCTAGGAGGGGCGTCATACCTGTAACGTGGATATACAAAAATAAGTTATACGTATAAGAGATAGACATACAAGAATAACAATAATAACCCAAGACAATTCACACAGAGCATTACATTTAGTCTCAAAACTCACAATATCGTTTTTTTTTCGAGTAGCTCCACTGAAAATCAGCACTGCAGTGACAGACTGTGGCACCAGCTGAGTGGAGGTCCTTTCAGCTCATAGCGAAATATTAGTTTTTAAGTTTTCTATTTTTTACTGTGTACTATGATGCTGAATAAATGATATTATTATTATATCTTAATCCAGACAAACATACAAAAAAATATACTTTTTACTTATCTGTCTAACAAAAATATCTTAGCAGCGCGTAATAGAAAAATACATAAAACAATACAGCGCCATCTAATGACATTGGTATAAAACAATATTCACTCTATTCTATATTATTATACTGAATATAAATTATACACCAATATTAAACATAAAGGCTATAAAGTTCAAGCGGGTGAAGCAGTGGGCACAGCTAATATAATATATTTAAGAATAAACAAAATAAATAATCCTGGACAATTAACACAGCGCCATCCAGTCTAACGGTAAGCAGAGCTGTTAGGGGTACTAAACAACTGATAATAAATACTTTTTTTTATAAGTACATACATAATATACATAGAAAACACCCAGACCGATACAAACAATCATACTCATGAATACAAATGTTTGCACCATGCGAGGAATCGAACCCGCGACCATCCGAAGTAAACCGAGAGACCGTCTGCATGGTTCGGATGAGTCACTATTTACGAATTAAAATCTATGACTACTAACCATAAGAATCAACATCCATCGTCGCGCCGTGCCCCAACAGCATCTTGAGTATATGTAGCGACCCGCTCTCAGCACAGTCGTGTAATGCTGTGTTGCCTTTAACACTTTTCCTATTGACATCTGCGTTTAATGAAAGTAGATATTTGGCGATTCTAATGTGCCCCTTGTAGCACGCGATCATCAGGCACGTGTGTCCATGGCGATTGGCTATTTCTATGTCTGAAATATAAAGAAATGTTGGATATTAAAATTTAATTATAGTTTACTATTTTTTTTTACTACGACTGTGGCACACAAGCATATGGCGCATCTGTTGGTAAACGGTTATGATTTACGCTATCGCATAATTTTGACCTGGTAAGGTCGATGCTCTGAGACCCCCTAGATCGTGACTTCGACTCTGGGCATTATGCGTCCATTTATATTTATGTCTCCAGTAACTGAAACATTGATAACAAAGCAAAAACTAGTCTGAAAGACGGTAGATTCGCCCGGTTGACACATTGGATTCAAAATAATAAATTCATAGAAATGGGTCATCAGTCATCAAGTTGTTGCATTTACCTCGACTTTGACAGTCGGCCAAATCTTATATATGCATATAAGATTTGACCAACCCCGGTGCCGCACCTAGCTTCAAATTTTAACTCATAATTGAGCACATTTCTACAGATGCAAACATGCTTTGAAGTGCGCTTATAAACGGAAACAGGACGGAAACGTTTGTCCATACTTGGAACGTAGGCTTAGCTCTAATACTTGTATTACTTTATTTATATTGTCGATCAATCAAATAACATATATATCATAATATATTATAGACTATTTACGAGAGTGCTTAAGTACAATAATAATCTTCTTATGAATTCTCCCTAAGGAATTGAATAATTACACTAGCTTTTGCCCGCGGCTTTGCTCGCGTTAATTTATCTCCTTAGGGGTGGAATTTATCAAAATCCTTTCCTACGTCATAGTAGCTTTATGTATGCAAAGTCTCAGTCCGATCGGTTTAAAATTGACAAATTTTCATATAAACTTTCATTCCCTATTTTATCCCTTTGGGGGTAGAATTAATCAAAATCGTTTCTTAGCGGATGCCTACGTCATAACATATACCTGCATGCCAAATTTCAGCCGGATCCATCCAGTGATTTGGGCTGTGCGTTGATAGATCACTACGTCAGTCACCTTTGAGTTATATATATATATATATATATATATATAATATATAGATTGGGTAGTCTACTACTCTTGGTCTAGTTTAAATCATATTAGAATTTTCCTTGTATTACTTGCAGAGTTTAATAAATCTTCGGCTATGGGTGACGGGCGAAATAAAATAATACAATTTCATCGGCGAATTATATAAAACAAGTCATATTATGACTCCTATAAAGCGGTCTTTCTAGACGCCTTGATCATTTGATCTATACGAGGAGAAAAGTAACCTAAACACGACACTAAAATAAAGGGCGTTATAGCGTCCTGAATCGCATTTTAGATCGTCTTGTAATTTAAACCATAGATTTTATTTTCCAAAGACACGTTTAAGATTCAAAGATTTATCAATAGTTCTAGTCTTTGATCCATAGGCAGATGTCCGCCATTTTGCAATGTTACACAAAGACGCTAAAGCACGCACATTAGAAGAACGCGGGAATACGTGTACGGCACGGTCTTTCTCATTGTCTACATTTACAAGCATTCTTTCCTGTGTGAAAACGTATTCGCGCGTGTAAGAACATATGTGTAAAGGCAGAAATTTTCATGCACATTCTTTCCTGCATGACAGCTTATTCGCGCGTGTAAGAGCGTATGTGTAAAGACAGAAATTTACATGCACATTCTTTCCTGCATGACAGCTTATTCGCGCGTGTAAGAGCATATGTGTAAAGGCAGAAATTTTCATGCACATTCTTTCCTGCATGACAGCTTATTCGCGCGTGTAAGAGCGTATGTGTAAAGGCAGAAATTTTCATGCACATTATTTCCTGCAAGACAGCTTATTCGGGCGTGTAAGAGCGTATGTGTAAAGGCAGAAATTTACATGCACATTCTTTCCTGCATGACAGCTTATTCGCGCGTGTAAGAGCGTATGTGTAAAGGCAGAAATTTAAATGCTCATTCTTTCTTGCATGAAAGCGTATTCGCGCGTGAAAGAGCGTAGGTGTAAAGGCAGGTATCCGAGCTCCGATATTGTCCTAAATTTAGTGTCGTCTGTATACTATTGAAGTAACACTCACCGGCGCCATTTTCGACTAGGAACTTAACAATATCGTAGTGTCCGTCGAAGCACGCGGCCCGGAGCGGTGTACTGTGTGTGCGCGTGGTAGAGTTGACGTTCGCGCCAGCGCGGACCAGCAACTTGACCAGGGGCAGGTGGCCCGCAGCGGCCGCACACCACAGAGGGGGCGCGCCCTCTATCGTCTCCCCGTCGAACGTCACTGTAAATAACGAGACAAACAATTACAGACAGCACATCGTAATATAGATGACTTGGGAAGACTTAGGAACTTAATTTAGGTTATCAGACTCCTCGGATATATGACTTAGGAAAAGTTGGCGGTGAGAATCGTTCTCGTATAATTATAAAAAGGTTAAAAATATTATGTACAGAAGTTAATTATTTATATATTAATACTTTATATCCTTTATACACATCTGAACTAATTACATAAATGTGATAGTGTCTGTCTGTCTGGCAGTTTTTACGACAAAACGCCTGATTGGGTCTTAACCAAATAAAATGGTAATAATTCATTTACTGAAATATTTGATAGGTCTTATAAAATACGAAAAAGTTAAAAATTCGGGTTAAAAAACTCCATGGTAATTCCTGTTAATCAGTCACGATAGGCAAACATATCAGACCTCATGTCCATCTTATCATCCTCCACTGGTGCCCCACCAGCGTAAACCGTTGGCGCAGGCTGGTACATCATTCCATTATCATCCATTAAAAAACATCTTCATTAAATTCACTACACACACGCATCGTATGAGCATATATTTGTGTTTATAACATAAATATACTATTGTGTTTATATTACGTCACGCCTACAATGAATATAGTTATTCTCAGCACTTTATTATTGTTATACACGTTTCGTAATATACTACACAGCAATGAGTTCATAGGTGTTTCTTTCATTAAAACGTCGAGGACGCAATTTTATATTATCATTATGGATTTATGAATTTTAAACTATTTTCAGAGTTCTGTTCGCGATTCATTGTCTATTTAACTTGACTATGAGAAATTTTGACTGTCACTAGAAGTATGATTTTTTTTTATGTAAATGATATGATAAACTAGCGGTAATGTGTGTTAGTATACAGTATAGTATTTAGTAAAGTGAGAAGTGTGTTAATAATTTTAAATTAAAAACTTTTCACTAAATGCATACGGAACTTAAATAAAAAAAATAAAAATTTTTTTGTCTGCCTGTTTGTTTTTGCTAATCTCTGAAACGGCCGGCCTTGATATTATAATGAGTAACTTAGACTACTAGATATTTTTTTAATAAGATCTATTTCACGTTGACGAAGTCAATGGTTACAGCTAGTCATGTACATAACATATACATAAACATCCGCGTAATTTGGGACTAGATGACGCTGTATGACGTATGTATGGACTTACAGTTAATTACTATACAGGTACTAATTATTATTAATGTTCTTTTAAACTGACGTCGATTTAAGTTGACAAAACCACTACATCATTAATGCCGGATTTTCCCAAAAATAAGACATCAAACAGCTTTATAAATAACTATTTTCATTTGGGTGAACATTATTCTACGCACGTTTTATCATAATAACGGATTTTGTTGATAAAGGCGTCTCTACATTCTACAGTTCCGCATCGATCGCAACGTTCATTTGTAAGTTGTATGTCCTATTGGACATACTGTTTACATCATTTAAGATATATTATTATGTCTGATTGGAAAATGGACAGATATTTGTAGAAAATAAATGTGTCGAAATGGATTTTGTTTTAACACGAATAATTTTATGGTTTACATAAAACTCATACATTTGACTAGGTTGTACTAGCCGACTGGAGTAACAGTGGATGTCAATGTTGATAGGTGCCGACATTTTGTTTACCTACCGTCATTAGAATGTCCGAAAAATAATCGCGATACAGACCTACCCACGAACTACAGACGCCTTTGTGTAAACTCAACTACTATAAAAAGTATACTAAAATGCGTTGCGTTCTATAGATGCGGCGCGGAATTGTGTACATACCTACCTTAATCGCCACCTGACTTGGGTAAATATATATTTTCTGGGCGAGGTGCGACAGTGATATAGTGAGGTGGTATGGCCATTCGCCAAACTATTGACGCAATGGGAAAGTAATAATTAGTTGAGGAATTTTTTTTTTATCTTTTGTTCTATGTACAGCAGCGACAATCAAGTTTGCCAATTGGGATATCTATGTGATCGAGGAAATGGGGAGATTTACTGTCAATTTTTTTTGTTTTGGGACTATTTTACTACATTACCCTCACCAGTATGCAAATGAATGACCTTAATAATTTATTTATTTTATTTTAAATCCCCGTAATGTTTCTTGTGAATAATAGTGTCGTGCACCCGTCTGCATTAACGGTATACTCTGGCTGGTTACAATCGATCATCGTGGTGAGTTTACAAGTAATTAAACAACGGTTATTTACAAAGAGAACCGTGTGGAGGTCGATCTAACAAGGCGCATTACGACGAATGATGTCACTATTCCCGAACTATCCCTTCTCCGCTATATAAAGGGTTAATCTTTTGCGCTTAGTATGAGAAAAAAGTCAATGGGGTCAATCAGGCGCGTGATATCGAATTCATGAATTCATTCCCAGTTTTGACTACAAATATTACACGCGTGATGGTATATTTCAAGTATTTGACACTAACCGGAGCCCGGCTGCTCGATGTCCGCCTTACACCTCTCGATCAGGTACTCGGCTACGTCGTAGTGGCCATTCCGGCAGGCGATCACCAGCGGAGTCGTGCCGCCGACCTTCGCACCCACCAACATGTTCAGCTCGTCTGCGGAGCGCCAACTGTGTAGGTACACCTGCGGACAAGCAAACAATTATTTCGTTAGTACATTAAAAAATACATATAATTAAATATATACTAATATTCTAAACAGTTAGGATTTTGTGAATCCGTTTGTGGTAGGTTAAAGTCCATTCCATTTTTTTTTAACCATTTGAAAGGTTATTGTTCCTGTTGGAAACATAATATATAACTCTATACCTAATATTTGTCATAATTTATTGCTGTACGTAAACAAAAGGTTCCACAAATTATTCTAGTGTCAGCAATAATAGTCCGCTGTTTGCACTGTTCGCCATCCGGTCGCTGATTCAGCGTTTCATATTTCTGCATAAGACCGCGGATTAAAATATTAGCTGTAATTTAGTTAATAAACTATATTAATTACCAATTTTCTAAATGTCTTTTTTATCCTTCGGCTGCCACACACGTGATTCATTCTACTCGAGTGTATATACCTAATTAAGATTGGGACACTGGTAATATAAATTATCTTTATTTAAATAAATGTAATACAAATTACAATTTAGTGTCGTTTATTTCGACCGCTATAAGCTAAAGTTTAAGATTTTCCACAAGAAAATCAACATAATCGTGTTGAGGAAGAGATGATAGATTTGGAGAAAGAGTAAGGGGACTGTCTAATGGTCAATTTACGTAACAGAAGTCATTGCAGAGAGGCATAAATATTTCTGCCAGCGTTTTGGATAATTTCACTAAAACATAAATGGATTGAACTACTATTCTCCTCGTACTACTATATTACAATTTCATGGAACCTGTTTAAAATGTTTAAGTTCACAAACGAAAATACGGCACATTTATCACGTTGAAAAAATAACGAGAAAAGAAAAAGAAACACGCTTTTAGATTTGTAGTCATTCCAGATTCCAGGTCAGAGGACGTTGTGTCACGGATTCGCAAAAGCACGCGTGAAATAGCAAAAATAAAAGTGGATTGTATAGTATTGAAATTATTTCAAACGATTTTCGTATTGCTATTATGTATGTCAAGCTATGTAAATGCATTTGGTGTAAATAATATTTATAAGGCAAACACATCGATATTATATTTTTCTACAGAAAATAAGACCAAATGATACCAACTCTAAAAAAGAATCATCAAAATTATTAGTACCGAATTGATGAATGATATAGAAACATACACGTACCACATTTTTGTCAATATCTGGATTGTGATCCAGATTATAGTAAAGTTTTATTGTTTAGATCTGAAAATAAAATACCAAAATTTTGATGCCAAATAATATTTTAGTCTCAAAAAAAATCATACCATATCCAAACTTATCGCAACAAATTTATAAATTAAACTTTAATGAAGTATATTATTATCACAAGCTTAATATACTTAATTTAATGAATACAGCCGAGGATCAATAAGCAGTGACCTTTTGTATAAATTGACGATAACTACATTTAATTGTAACACAGTACTGCACAATCCATGAAAGTAATTATAATGCAATGATCCGGTACGTATTTTGAGGTACAAAGAGTAAAGAGCTCCGCATATTTCAGGAAAAGATCGGAAACTTTACTAATATTTATCATTTTAAGTACCTATTAAAATATATTAAAGGCAAAAATGTTTTCACAATAATAACAATTACAAGTATATATATTTTATGCTAATATGTTTAACGGTTACTAATTATAACTAAGCTAATAACAACAGAATCCGAATCAGCCAATTCAAGGTTACGATTCCAAAAATATAACAGAAGCCTTATTATACGACTTAATACAGCTATCTATATTTTAGAAACTACATACTATTTGTTTTTATATTGTTATAACTGTAGTGGATTGTATACTAGAACGTGAATCTAAAACTAGTGCAGCAGGCTCCTCCTAGATTTGACTGGGCAGGGAAAGAACACGAGCGGTAAAGGTGAGTGTTGACGTCGGCAACGCGTCACAAGTCCCGGGAACGGCTCGGAGTTTCCCTCTCTGCCACACGATGGATCCGACAACCGTAACTTGATTCCATGGAATGCTAAGAAGTTTGTCTCTAATTTTCTGCTTAGTAGAAAATGCTTCTCTCCTCAACCGTCAGTTTTCCTTTCAACAATTTAAGGTAAGGCTCTTTCTAATTTGAATGAACATATTAAGATTTTCCATGCGACAAGATCAAGGCTTAAAGAAAGGGCATGTGCTATTGGCACTTATAATGTTGATTTTAAAGGCTCTCATATCATCAAAACATGCAGACCTGCAAATGTGAGATCCGGTATATAACCTCAGTTTGGTAAGCGCGCCACGTCCGTCGAGATTGCGTAATTGCAAACTATTACAAGCAAAACGCACAGACCTACGATGATACTGCCACTATGATTAATACATTCTGAACCAACTCCAAAAACTAACATTATTATCTTATTTATCTCATTCTTTGTTAGAGCTTCATGTTCTACAAGAATTATGATTGTTCTTTCTGCAATCAATTAAGCATACACGGAGTATGCTTAATTGATCCCATATTAATGTTGGTCCCATATTAATTTTTCCACTATTGAAAATTTGTAACATGTGTGTTGTAATTTGAGTTTTATTTCTGTGGAAAAAAACATAATTATATCGACCAGTACCTTTCCGCGTATTTCAAGGAACTTATCATAATAATTGGCCTGGTCCTTTTTCTTTTATTCGGGATATCTTCTTTTTTGGGTGAACATTCGTTATTAGGGATGTAAACGGATACTACTCTACTACAGCCTAACGGCCGGGAAACGATTGCTTACCAACCAAGGGATATAGCCCTCTCAATTGGCGTACACGGACACGGTGCTAGGAAACTTCCTGGATCCTCCTTAAATAAAATCAGACGCTGCCTCGTCTTCATGATGTCTTCATAACGGAATGGTCTATAACTACCATAATCATATTTATGAGAGGACCTGGTATTTCAAATTTTCTTTCTCCTATTACTAGCGATTTGACCTAGTAATAGTATGGCCATTTTTCCTTTGTTTGCTTTTATGATATCCTGGTCTGCTGAGTAGTGACACATTCTCACTTCGTCACCACATGGAAAGTGGAACAAAGTACTTGCTATATTTTAACTTGATGACACACCAACAGTACCTATTATTAAATATTCTGTGACACTACGGTAAATGATGTTGATAAATGTAACGGTAAGATGCGGAGACTTGCCTTTTACATCTTACGACATTTTATATTCAATGATAACATCTAACAAAACAAACATGGAAAGCCAAGCCTTATTTTTTTTAAGGACGTTAGAATGGTGCACCCTTCCGTGCTTCTACAGCTAACCAATTGGCCACGCCTCCATAATATGACAATTAGATGACTTCTCCACTCTAACTGGTGCCCATAATGGGATCTATAAGTTTTATAGTGTTACTAGTTTCTATCCGCAACTTCGGCCGATGGCTCATTATTTATTTATTATGCGACAAAAAGTAGTACGTCCTTCTCTATTGCAAAATATATTATAAACATACACGAAATAATTAATAATTATTATGAAAATTTATATAACTATATACCTAAAACTTGATACTTGCATTTATATTGTTACACGTTATTGCATACTGTTTAAGACTAATGTCAGACTTTTGATGATGACAAATCCTAATCATTCACACGATTTCGTAACCGTAAAATACATATCTTAGACTATGCACACACTAGGATCGATTAAGACCTTATGGATGTTATATTATTATAAATAATTGATATTAATAATAGTAAATAAAGTTTAATCGTATTATTAAGGTTATTAAATAGAATAATATCTCAAATCGGCGCGGATATCTCGGAGAAATCGCTACAATGGACGGAATACGGAATGTTATAACAAAGTAGCAAAGTGTTTACACAAAATATTTGTTACTTTGTTATAACACGTTTAACACGTATATGTCAGTAAATAAAGGCATACTATATTGGATTTCATATTATTAGACAATACAATAATCCGGATAGTCACAAACTTAAAATCAACTGAAAGATGAACTACAGTATAAATCTTTAAAAATCCTTACAGTGAAATATACATGGAGGGTCCATGTATATTTTGCATGCAAATTTGTAAGTCCTTAAATATTTACGTATGTTTATGTACATATATGTATTCTATGTATTTACTTATGTTTGTAAGTAAATTGAGCAATAAATAAAAAAGCTTACTTTAAAAAATTATATATCATTTCCCTCAAGAAGCCAAACAAAATGTTACTTAATCTATGAACCTTGAATACTCTGATTAAAAATAACAGGAAAAACTAATTGAACGTACCAATAAAGAATTCCAATAGCCACTAGACAGGATAACACAAAGAGTTTCAATAACAAAACAGACAACATTACATGTATATCCTTTACCGACAACGACTATAGTGACAATGAGTTATAAATTTTTCCAATTAAATAAGCCGCTGAAACAATGAACTATATTCAAGTGTTTCATAATTTCGTATGTCCTACTGCGTATGCCTGAAATTGTACAATGTGGTGTCGAAATTAACAATGTCATCTGTGACAGGTTCAATGATTGAGCACATGTCCAATTAATATTCTTTTATATTAGCAAACAATCGCCTGAAAAATAACGATGATTCAGTTTCATATCACCATTTTACAATAATATATATATATATTCTTTGACATCAAATATTACACTGGTCATTGTGGTCGTTTTAATTGAATCGCCTGCAACGTTAAAAAGCTTATTTGACAGCCTCGGTGGTCTAGTGGTTTAGTATTTCGCTTTATTATCCGAAGGTCGCGGGTTCGACTCCTCACACGGCACAAACATTTGTATTCATGAGTATGATTGTTTGTATCGGTCTGGGTGTTTTCTATGTATATTATGTATGTACATATTTACAAAACAAATATCTAGGTATTTGTATCAATCGTCTAGTACCCATAACACAAGCTTTAGCTTAACTTCGGTTTAGATGGCGCTGTGGCGATTAAAATATTTTATACAACCACCATTGCTAGCAAAGTACACAATAGGTATCCCTAGAAACCACCATGGTAAACTCTTGGTGAATCATCACTACATAGTATAAAACATGTCGCCGACTGTCCGTCCCTATGTATGCGTAAATCTTTAAAACTACGAAACGGATTTTGAAAAGGTTTATTTTTTAATAGATAGTGATTCAAGAGGAAGGTTAATATGTATAATACATCCGGACGAAGCCGGGGCGAGTAGTAGTTTACTTATAAGCTAAAAACCTAATTACATGCTTATAGCTCCTAAAATCGGATATATACTATACTACAATTAAAATAAATTTCAATATACGTGGTACCTACTTTTTTAATGGATGATAATGGAATAAGGTACACCTGTGTGTGCTAAGGGTTTCCGCTGGTGAGGCTCTAGTAGAGGATAAAAGAATGACTATGGGGTTAGGTCAGTTCATGATAAATTCACTAGGAATTATCACGATTACATCCAGGTTGAACCTGATACGGTACATTGCTTGCTATTTATGGGGTCATCAGTCCACATTACTAACAATCCCCTTCGTCTCATGGTACCTATGGTACACAACATAACGTTGCCATTGTAAAAACTAAAATAGTATGCCTGTATTATCACTGCCATACCACACTTTTCAATTCGGAACACATCTTGCAAAACCAGCCGCTAGCAGTAGAATTTAGAGAGACAGATGTGCCCACGCAGACTTTGTACAAAGTCAAAAATATAAGAAAAAAATGTATCGTTTCTCTCAAGGAATTTACCTTTTTAATACGCCTCAGTATCCTTCGTTGGCGGCGCAGCAGCGTTTTGCCGCAATGCCTCAGCGTTTCAATCCACCGACACCGAACCGGCATCAAGTCCCACACACCGGCCGACATTTTCACTCAACACATCACCATTTCACACTATTCAGTACACCAATCACTTTATTACACTTTAATTACGTATAATGTTACACTAATGCGATTTTAATACAACACTGTTGAGTAAATCTATTGTTAAGTTTGACTAACGCAGGCAAAAGACGTAAGCTACATACGTCGTTATTCAACTACCGATGTTCTGTCAATAAATTCTAGATCATGGTTATTTAATGGTCAACGCTTTGCATCGGCTACTTCCTCCAATCGCATGTGAATAATAATGATGAAATAGCAAAAGACTTGACTCGTTTCGTCATTATTATAATAGGTACGTATTTAATTACCAACTAATTATAGAACGTAATATTGACAGACAGAACGGGATGTACTTCTATGTATTTCAAGATAATTATTCTGAAGTCTAATCCGGTCCTGACATAATTTGTGTATGTATAATAAAAACAATCTTTAACAAAATATCGTTTTATTAATTAATTAATATCCTGTTCTATAAATAATGTATAAATTTATAAATGTGTAACTTAAATATTATTTTGAGAATTCTAAATTATCAAATAAGACGTAATACAATATTCACAGATGACTTTAAAAACAACCAACTTCATAAATAAAACAAAATAGTTTTATTCATGAAGTTGGTTGTTTGCAGTCAGTTGGTCAGTTTATCTGCATTTTTTATTTAACGAGATCTTCGCTATTATTGCTCTACTTTTGATATTTTTTGCAATGGACAAACTTCAATCCTAGTTACTGATGAACTTTGGTTTTTTTTGCATTAACTTATATCTATTATGTACAAATTTCAATCTTAGTTTATTTCCATACTTCTTTTTTTTTTATTTTAACTACCTTCATCCGATAAATTGCCCAGCAGAATCATGGACGATCTGACCTCGCTAATCGTGACGTCAGGTTAACGGAAAGATAAATCATTGGAAATTCTAAGATTACGTGTTAATTGAATGCTTTATGTAGATATTTATTAGAGCATTGCGGCCTATTGGTTTACTACTCTTATTTAAAATCGCCAGTTCGAATCTGGCCGATCCTAAAACACCTTATATCACTTTAAAAGGTATGCTCAGGGCCCTAAAATCAGAGAATTGGTGCGGACCGTAGATCACCTCGTGTGTAGGTGAATAGTAGTCATTATAAAGTTCACTAACTAGAAAATATTTCCAAATGAGGCGAATTTTTACGCCAGTGATAGAAACCTGGTTAATAAACCAAATTATTTCTGGAAACGAGAGTGATAGAAACCTGGTTAATAAACCAAATTATTTCTGGAAACGACAGTGTTAGAAACCTGATTAATAAACCAAATTATTTCTGGAAACGACAGTGATAGAAACCTGGTTAATAAACCAAATTATTTCTGGCAACGACAGTGATAGAAACCTGGTTAATAAGCCAAATTATTTCTGGCAACGACAGTGATAGAAACCTGGTTAATAAACCAAATTATTTCTGGAAACGACAGTGATAGAAACCTGATTAATAAAACAAATTATTTCTGGAAACGACAGTGATAGAAACCTGGTTAATAAACCAAATTATTTCTGGCAACGACAGTGATAGAAACCTGGTTAATAAACCAAAATATTTCTGGAAACGACAGCATGTTACCTCCTATTTGGTATTGGCTAAAACTGCAAATTAAATTCGCATTACGTTACAGTACGCAGGCCGATGTAAGTGTATTTGTGTTTCTAAACACATGTAAAGAAAAAAATCTTAAATTGATCAATGAATATTCTTTTATTCATCATAAATACCTACCATTACGTATACAACATATCGAATCTGATTAATAAACGATAACAAGCCCGCATACAGCACAGATGTTACTTCAATTTGAAAGGGGCGAGTGTGTCAATTGGTCTCACGTTCTCTTAAGTGGCATCACGTGTTAGTAAGGTGACAGATACGAATACAAAAAAAAAATCATCAATCAAAACAATCTTAATAGTTTACACACATACATTTATTTCTAATAAGTACTACTTACATATTTACTTAGACCTTAGCTTAGGGCTACTATGAATATGAGTTATGTTACTATGACTATACATAGCATATTACGGTACGTAATTTTTTTCTTTGAAATTTCCTTCCAGATTGTTCATTTCCTTATGTATACATGAACAGCGCAGCGGATATCACGTTATCATGTGAGACCCGTGATATCAATTATGCACTGCCATTCCAGCGCCTAAGATGTCAGATTGACCGATGAAATAAGTGAGATACAGAGATACCCACGAAAACACCTTTTTCAAATCAAATAAAAATATGTTTATTCATATAGGTCTATTACAGACTCTTATGATTTGTCAAATCTACCGTCAGTTCGGAGTGCTGTTCAAATGAGGTTGTACACGTTTACAAAAATACAGACTCATTTTTAAATTCAAATTTGGGAGAATAAACTGACAGCTAGCGTATGCTACTGCAATTGTAATTTTATTTTTTTCCCTAATCTCAATTTTATCTCTAGTATTTTATACTCATACTTCCGGTATTAATTCGTCATCACCATAGGTCGGTTGAAGAACAATCACTACTAAAATACTTTGTAGTCTCATTTGGTCCTTTAACTTAGGAAAATACCATTTGATTAAATGAAGACTGTCCAATGATCCAATTAAATGAAATTGTATAACATACTATCGTATATATATATATTATACTATTTGCTGAATTGAAATCAATAGAAAGTACAAGTCGATCCAGCAGAGTAAGTTTAGAATCTTTGCATATTTTAGAAAGCCAGTTAATCCTCACGGGTGATATTATTTTACTTACTCTTAATTTAATAACGGCGTCTTTAAGTAATATAATAGCAATCTATATGTATTACAGCGAAAGTCACGAAATGTGCAAAAAATCTGCGTTGTAAATATTCATCTATACTAGAGACTACATTAAATCTGACAAATTGGAGATTGGTTATTTTTAGCCTCGTCAATTATACATACTATAAAAAGAACTACATATAATACATATGTAGTTCTTTTTATGTAATTAAAATGACAAATTCGTTGTTGGCTAATTGTTTTATGTATACATAAATAGCACCGACCATCACCTTATCATGAAACCTGTGATACCAGTTATATCTTGCCATTCCAGATAAGTAAGACCATCACCATCCACCATCTTAGTTATCTTATCCTGTAATTTGGCTAGCTAATCGGCATCTTACAACCGAAAGTCTATTTATAAAGCAAGCTGTACCATGCAGATAACTTTATTTTAATCAAAAGTTAAATAGTAAGTAATAAATAATCTAAAAGGTTCAACAGATAAAATAGAAGAGTTTCACATTTCATTCACGGTTATATTTTTTAAACAATCAATCAATGCAATACCAATACTGATTCCGATGAATCCAATGAACTTCCGCATTGGCTTTATATTAATACTATTCGAGTTAATATAATAGTATGTATACCAAATTTCTATGTCGCTATTTTAAACGGGGTCAAAATATCAACTTGCTAAAACTCCGTTAGATATGAATATTGAAATTTGTTTACATAATTACCTATATCTCAATCCATGTATATACACCTACTTGAATATATAAATATAGTTATTTACTATTGTGAAGATATTTCTGTAAAAGTATATTTAGGTGAAATGGACGTTGACACACAGCCAGACAGAGTTTTGCTGCGCATACGTAACATTATGAACTTATGATACAATAATTTCACCATAACATTGAATAACAAACTGGTTCTTTCTAAATCGGTAGAGCTGATTCTAAGAAAGTCGCTCTACGTTACGGCATAATCCAAGCCCGCTGATTAAAAAAAAAGGTATACGAGTTGAGTTTCTTGGCAGTTTTCTCAGTCAATTGAACTGATGTAGGGTATTACTTTGTTAAGAGTACTTTTAGTAACGGGTAATAGTGTCCTTATTGCTAGTAATATACCACGTCAGGTCAATCTCACGCGGTCACCCCTGGAAACTATTATTAATTCCTGGTGAATCTTTCACGATTGGCCAACTGATTTGACCTCATAATTATCTTATCGTACTTCACTGGTATCCTGCCAACGGAGCAGACGGGTGCACCATATAAAAGAAAAATAAAAAGAAGAAAAGAAAAACATTTATTGACAACCATTATTACATTTACACTTTTGACAAAGGTACATTTTATATATATATAAAACTCTTTTGATATTTTTAAATTTATATTTTTGAAGAGTTCTTTTTTATGTCATGTTATTTGATATACTACAATTTATTGTATTATTCTCTTATTGTCTTTTGTATAGTTCGCAACTATATTCTAATATATATTACTATTATATTCGATACGTGTTTTCATCATTTAGACACCCATACAGTCCACCGATCCATTACATTTATTTTATATATATACATATGCACACAGACACCCATATACATACATACATACACACTTAGAACAATTACAATCATTATCAACCATTAGTAAAAAACTGCAGTAGGGTTAAAAATGTAAAAGAGACGGACATAATTGGCCAAAATGTTTGTCAAATTCTAAAACATATACATGACCTATAAGAGATATAAATATAGAAGAGTTTAACAAAGACCGACGATTCAATATACACTGGTCCACCATTTTCAGATTGTAATATTAATAAACTCAATTACAAATTATATTAACTTGTTGAAAATTATTTACGAAATAGCAAAGTTAAATTAATTTCTATTTAGGGACTATATTACAAAATTTATTACTGTCTCTTTGGTGCCTATTATTTTGTTATTACAATTTCGTTAACATGGAAATTAATAATTAACTTTTTTTGGGACGTATTTCACTCTATTAAATAAAATAAATACTTGAGAAACGATTACTTAAATAACGAACGTGTATGACAATAGTTGTAAATAAAATGGCTTTAAAAAAAAAGAATAACAAATTAGTTTTTCGTCATTTCTTCTCAAATAAATCTGTATAGTGAACCGGAGGGTAGGGAAATATAATATAAATAAAAAATTTAATGTTCATAAGCGGCTAAAATGTCCTACATTAATAAATTATTTTTTTAATTTGTATTGAACAATCCATATGTC